TCCATTTACCATTTATGTGTCTAAAAAACATGTTTCCTAACACCATTTTGATTAAAGGTTTCAACAGAAAGCTGAGAAAATCAGAAGATTAAAAATGTGACACCAATAAAGAAATTAGAATATGTGGTGACAATCTACATTCATGGAAAACCTTTGGTCTTATAATTCTAATTATGACATAATACATCATTTATCATTTTCAAAGACAAATTTCTCTTTGTATCTTCAATAATTTAACAAAAACAAATGTAAAATTGCTAGGACACAGTGATAAATCCAAGTGCACCTTTTCTACTTCCTTTTTACATAAAATACTAGGACAATTATGGATTTGTTTAAAAAGTTACACAGAAAATAGACTTTTCTATGAAAAGAACATGAGAGCAGAGCTTTGACTTGCAGAGTTACGGTACATTCAGACAAGAAGATTTCTGGAACAATGTCTTTTGGACAATCAAGAAAAGGTCTTGTTTTAAAGATCAGCGCCACATTTGATGAAAAATAAATAGAGCAGAATAAAGACGAGCACAAATACCTGAACTGTCAAGCACAGTGGCGGAATGATGATGATTTGGGTTTGTTTTGCAGCTACAGGTCCTGGCCTTGCAGTCATTGAGTCAGTTATGAACTCTTCTGTATTACAGAGTCTTTTAGAGTCAGATGTGAAGCTATCAGACAGGGGTAGTGGTGGTTCAGAGACTAGATGGGGTGGGGGGGGGGGGGCTGTGATCGGAAGGTCGCCGGTTGAACTCCCTGAGCCGACGACATCAAAATGTGGGTGGGATAGGTGAAGCACTCACACCTGCCTTCACCCTCATTTGCCCAACTCTGGGCCCTTGAGCAATTGGTAAATGAACTGTACTTATATAGCACCTTTCTATCTGATCAAGTTACTCAAAGAGACTAATCAGAGTTTATCACATTCATACAACCATGGGACACACATCAGAGGCAACGAGGGGTTCAGTGTCTTGCCCAGGGACACTTCGGCATGTGACTGCTGGTGGATTCGAAATGCCAACTCTTACATTGGAGGACGACTGCTCTAATCATTCAGCCACAGCCGCCACCACAAGGCTTTTAACCCCCACCATCTGCTCTCCCGGGCACCCTAGATAACAGCTCTCCGTTCCACAGAGGCTGTGGTAGCTCGGTGGTCTGTGATTGCGTCAGGAAGGGCATCAGACGTTAAAACAATTGTCAGGACTTTGTGTGAGTTAGTTCACTGTGGTGACCCTGAAGAAAGGAGCAGTCAAAAGAAGAGGGGTGGTGGGGGATATATATATATATATATATATATATATATATATATATATATATATATATATATATATACTGTAAAGCTATCAGACAGCTGGAGCTTGGCCAAAACTGGATCAGTTCAGTTTTTCAGAAACCATTTCTGCATTTTGATCGTTTTGTTTAATGCATATTGACACAGACTAACGTGTTGTCCATCTGATCTAAGACTTACCTAACGTTAAGGCCTAGTAAAGGCCAGATGTGAAAGTTTGTTTGTATAATACATAAAATTTTAGAATTAAAAACGGGCTGTTTACTTTTAGCCATCAGTGTGGGTAAACTATACAGTAGAGCTTTGTTGTTTCTCACACACACACACACACACACACACACACACACACACACACACACACACACACACACACACACACACACACACACACACACAGGAAATGTACTAAAATTTCTATTTTAATTAAATAGTTCAAAATTTTTCTTAAACTTTTCATAAACCTAAGGTTTGTGTCTAACAAAGTTAAGTCAAGTTCTCTGGATAGATTAAAACATGAAAAAATTAAAAGCATGATGAAAGATTTTGTTTTTTATCCGAGAGACTTCCTCAGTCTGAGGAGCTGTTTTCAGCTCAGTCTCTTAAATAGCACCTTCTCAGAGTGGATCAACCAGTTTGCTGCTGACAACCAAAACCAGCTGATCACATGGTCAAGAAGGACCATCAGCCTAACAATGGATCATTAGCACCTGATGGCTGTTTACTGTTCACAGAGGGCTGAGTGATACTAGCAATCACAGCATTGTAAGAGGGGGACAGTTGAACCTGGAGGCCTCCACCCCTGTTTAATGATGGACGATTTCTTTTCACAAAGATGGCCTCCTTTACTCCTCTCTCAAACCATTGTTCCTCTCTGTCCAGGATGTGAACATCTTCATCCCTGAAAGAGTGA